TGTGTGTGTGTGTGTGTGTGTGTGTGTGTGTGTGTGTGTGTGTGTGTGTGTGTTTGTTTGTGTGTGTCTATTTGTGTGTGTGTGTGTGTGTGTGTGTGTGTGTGTGTGTGTGTGTGTGTGTGTGTGTGTGTGTGTGTGTGTGTTACGTATTGGTTTGTGTTGGTGAAGAGGGAGGGAGAAGGAGGAAGAGGGAGGGAAAGGAGAGTGAAAGGGAAAGAAAGGGAGATAGAAGAGGGAGGGAGGGAGGGGAGGGAAGAAGGAAAAGCCTACGGGAGGGAGATGGGGAGAGGGAAGGAGGGAGGGATGGAGAAAAAGAGAGAGAGAGAGAGAGAGAGAGAGAGAGAGAGAGAGAGAGAGAGAGAGAGAGAGAGAGAGAGAGAGAGAGAGAGAGAGAGAGAGATTGGATTTGTTTTGATAGATTTATTGCATCCAGTGGACGACAAACAATTTTACAAAGTACAAAAGGGGGGAGCGAGATAGATAGAAAGATAGATAGATAGATAGTGTGTGAGAGAGAGAGAGAGAGGGAGAGAGAGAGAGAGAGAGAGAGAGAGAGAGGGAGAGAGAGAGAGAGAGAGAGAGAGAGAGAGAGAGAGAGAGAGAGAGAGAGAGAGAGAGAGAGAGAGAGAGAGAGAGAGAGAGAGAGAGAGGGAGAGAGAGAGAGAAAAAAAGAGAGAGGGGGGGGGATGTACGTGTGTGTATGTGTGTGCATGTGCATATGTATATGTATATATCTAAGCCTATCCACCAGAAGAAAGAGAAAAAAAAAACGAGATTCATACATAAGCAAAACACTACCCGAAAAATCCCTCCCTCATTATATCTATCTATCAATCTATCAATCTATCTATCTATCTATCTATCTATCTATCCATCTATCCATCTATATATCCATCTATCTATCTTTCCATCTATCTATCTATATATATATTTTTTTATTGTATATTCCCACATATCATTTGTTATTTCTTCCCCAGATCCAATGGCTAGACCTTCTGCGTCACATCTTCCCCAACAGTAAACTCGACCACAGAACAGACGTGTTGGTCGTATCACGTGACTACTTCAGCGATCTTTCGGAACTGATCTCAACAACGGACAGGAGGTGATTTTGTTGGCTGGTCTAGTTGTTTTTTTGTTTTTTTTTTAGTGTTTTGATTGTGATAATGATGTTTTTTTTTTTTTTTTTTTTGTAATTATATCGTATCATTATTTTTTTTTCTTTTATTTATCTATTTATTTAGTTTTATCTATTTATTCTTTTTGTTATCTTCATCACCCTAACCGTTTGTTTTCTTCGTTGCGTTATTTACAATATGTTGATCATCATTGTAATTATTATTATCAATATAATTGCTTATTTTGTATTAGTATTGTTATTGTAGTAAATAATTTTCTTATCTGTTTGGCTTTTCTAGTAATATGTTAACTCTGATCTTTACTTTGCTTAGTTTTCAAAATGTTCCATTCAATCCTCGGTTTTATGGCTATTTCATTGATAAAAATGCATTTCAAAGACAGACAGAGAGAAAGAGAGAGAGAGAGAGAGAGAGAGAGAGAGAGAGAGAGAGAGAGAGAGAGAGAGAGAGAGAGAGAGAGAGAGAGAGAGAGAGAGAGAGAGACAGACAGACAGAGAGAGATAGAGAGAGACAGAGAGACAGAGACAGAGACAGAGAGAGAGAGAGAGAGAGAGAGAGAGAGAGAGAGAGAGAGAGAGAGAGAGAGAGAGATGATAATCAATATTTCTTCTGTTTCAGTTTGTTGAACAACTACCTGATCTTCAGCTTCGTGACAGCTTTTATGCCCTATTTGTCTGCAGAAAATAGGAGAGTTCTGGATCTCTATCACAGGGAATTTACAGGTGAGTTAATTTGCATCATCATACCTTTTCATTATCAAATTGCTATGTCGTTATGTTATTCTAAATCATTATACCGTAGTATTGTGTTCCTACGTTTTACTTTATTATGTTATTCTGTCAGATTAGGTGTTGTATTAAATTTGTGTGGATAAGTTTACGTATGGGAAAGTGTGGTCGGGACGTCGTTTAAAAGAACTTGGTAATACAGAGCTGCATTGGGGTCGTTCCCTATTTTTCCTTTAGCGGATGGGGGAAGGGGGAGGGGGGCAAGCGCGGAGGCAGGAGTGGTTGATTCTAGAGTGCTCTTCCAGAAAGAGAGGATTTTTTTTTCCGTGTCCCATCATCTGCGGTGCGTGAGACAGTTCATACCTCGTTGTTCACCATTTGATACATGCGGATACCCAGCCACTGGTACGCAACACTCTTCAACACTGGATGTATTTGACGTGCTTTATCCACGAGTGCACAGAGCAAATCCTCAGAAAGCAGCCGGGTCAGAGGGCAGAAAGCAGCCGGGTCAGAGGGCAGAAAGCAGCTGGGTCAGAGGGCAGAAAGCAGCCGGGTCAGAGGGCAGAAAGCAGCCGGGTCAGAGGGCAGAAAGCAGCCGGGTCAGAGGGCAGAAAGCAGCCGGGTCAGAGGGCAGAAAGCAGCCGGGTCAGAGGGCAGAAAGCAGCCGGGTCAGAGGGCAGAAAGCAGCCGGGTCAGAGGGCAGAAAGCAGCTGGGTCAGAGGGCAGAAAGCAGCCGGGTCAGAGGGCAGAAAGCAGCCGGGTCAGAGGGCAGAAAGCAGCTGGGTCAGAGGGCAGAAAGCAGCCGGGTCAGAGGGCAGAAAGCAGCCGAGTCAGAGGGCAAAAAGCAGCCGGGTCAGAGGGCAGAAAGCAGCCGGGTCAGAGGGCAGAAAGCAGCCGGGTCAGAGGGCAGTGTGGTACATGTGAATTACCAGAGCCACTCAGCCGACTATTAAAGACTGCATCGAGCAACCGCCAACGCTTCCGCCTTCGCTGCAGGTTAAGCGAGCCAGTGCCACCGCTGAAAACATCCACATAAGGCCAACATTTGCCACATCATCATTATCCAGGAACTGCAGGTGATCCATCTGGCTCTACGTCGTGATCCTGTAATCTGAGTTTGGTTGGTGTGTGTCTCCCCATCAAAGCCGGCCACACTTCTATTCATATCCGAACTAATCGCCTGCTTAACCGAGTCTGTTATGGCCCCTTTTGTTTATTTGTATCAATCCGTCAATGTAGTGACCAGATGGATTGATTACATCGCACTTTTATCAGTTTACCTGCAATATGAGCAATCGTGCAAGATAAAACGCACATGTTCAAGAGCACCCGTGTTGTGGCTGATGACCTGATGACCTGATATATCTTGTCGCTGAAAACGCCGTTCACTGTCCTTGCCATCAACAACTGCGTTCAAGTGCGTGAATATTGGACGAGGCGATTTGCGTTTGCCGCGAGCTATTTGTATCCTCTGTTGAGGAGTCGGACTCCTGAACCCAAGTAAATATTGGCCAGAATACTGTTTTTGTTGCGCTCATCTCCTCGTTCGTGAGCTTGGTTTACCTCTCTTCGTTTATATACAAGACTTGTTTTGATCTAACCTTTCGCGAGAAATATTATTTCAAACAGATCCTCTTAAACACGGCTATAAATTCTACTGAAAGTTAATTTATATGCAGATACATGTAAAACAGAAATGAAAACTTTTTTTAATATTCCCTACACCTTCTTTCGCTTGAAGAAATATCTTTCGTTCGTCACATGTCTCCTGGATGAGGAAAAAAGGAAGAAAAAGATTTTTTTTTTTAAGTTAAAAGGAAGGACAGTAAAGAAGAATAAATATGAGACTTTGCCAACGCCTTTTAGTTTAGGTCTATGCACGTTGATGGGCACCCATATACATTTGGATTTCTGGGAATTGTGCTTCTATAATCGAAATTATTTGAACGCATTGCAAAGAACGTAGCCAATCAACTCTCCCGCATATTACGAAACCAATAATAACAAAACTACTGCTCATGTTTAAAACATTCTTAAAAACGTCCTAATACTTATGAACCAATTAAGCCATTCCCGTTAACCACATGCTCCCGATGTCTCGCCCAGGCCGCCAGGAGCCGATGGAGCGCTGGGAATTCTGCATTCAGTCGACGAAAAAAAACTGCTCATATTCAAAATATTCTTAAAAACGTCCTAATACTTATGAACCAATTAAACCATTCCCGTTAACCACATGCTCCCGATGTCTCGCCCAGGCCGCCAGGAGCCGATGGAGCGCTGGGAATTCTGCATTCAGACAAGAACTCGGGCTCGACAGCGCAATGAAGAAGTTGTAAGTTATTTTATATGGCTAGTGTCTTTGTGTCAGTATCGTTGTATTTATTCGAATTGTATTTTATTGTTGTATTTTGATTTAGCTGTGAGGATTTTTAAACTGCTCATATTTAAAACATTCTTAAAAACGTCCTAATATTTATGAACCTATTAAGCCATTCCTGTTAACCACATGCTCCCGATGTCTCGCCCAGGCCGCCAGGAGCCGATGGAGCGCTGGGAATTCTGCATTCAGTCGACGTCCAAGTTCTTCAGCTTCGGCCTCGGGTCCTTGTACGAGCGCTCGCCTTCAAGAACTCGGGCTCGACAGCGCAATGAAGAAGTTGTAAGTTATTTTATATGGCTAGTGTCTTTGTGTCAGTATTGTTGTATTTATTCGAATTGTATTTTATTGTTGTATTTTGATTTAGCTGTGGGATTTTTTTTTTTTTAATATTGTGTTAATATATTTTATGATAAAAATATGTGGTAATAAAGGTTCGAAGGTACTATACATAGCTTTTATTTTTATTTTATTTATTTATTTTTTTTAAGATTATTATAAGTAATTTCATCTTCCTCTATTACAGATTCAACACATTTTCGGCCAAATCCGCAACACTTTGGCCACAAATTTGGTTAACAGCCGCTGGTACCCACTCGAAGTGAAGGCTCAGCTAACAGCAAAGGTAGGAAGAAATTATTGGTTTCTGCCTTTAAAGATTGGATTAATTCATTCATGGCGTTAATTGGGATTAAATAATTACTTAAGGGATCTTAACATGTTCTACCTACCTATTTATCAATCAATCAATCA